AGGGTGTTGAGAAGATCTGCCCAGGATGGGAGATGCATGCTGAAAATAGACTATAGACCGAACATGATTACCATTCAATTCCTCTTTTGCAAACCACAGCACCCACAAGGAGAGAGAGAACAAAAGGGAATGCCCTGCCACAGAGGCAAGGTGGGATTGGGGGGATGGGGGAGAGGGATACTGGGATTAGTGGTGGTGGAGAATGGGCACTGGTGGAGGGATGAGTACTCGATCATTGTATAACTGAAACCCAAGCACAAAAAAGTGTAAGTCTACAACTGTATCTCATGGTGTTTCACTAATAAACACTGAAAAAAAAAGTTGTGGCCTGCACACAAAATAGAATACTATAGAGTCATAAGAAAATACGAAATCATGCAGTCTACTGCTACTTGAATGGATCTGGAAACAAAGGAAGTCAGAAGAAGGAAAATAAAAACCAGGTATCACTCATGATGGTATATATATAGGGAAGAAAGTCAGGGATGCATACAGAATGATAATAAATCATTCTGGATTTGTTATTACCCTGGATTACAAAACTAAGAATGCCAAATTAAGGGAGGGGAAATTGGGAAGGAGGAAGATGATGAGGGAGACTGGGTGTAACTAAAGTGAGGAGCTTTAGTTGGTTGGGTAAAGGTGAAGAAAATGTGTAAATGAAAATCATAAACATCAACACTGTTATAAACGTGGTGATAATTAAAATAAATATTCTAATTTTTTTCAATGAATTTTCCAAGACTTGGGAGGAGACCAAGAGACCCTGGCGGAGGGACACTGACAGTGTGGCAAGTGTGAGGTTGGAACATGTTTACCTAAAACTATTAAGGAAGCAGAAGTAAGGACATGCTAAAACCTAGAGAAGAAATCAGCCAAGTGGAAAGTGAAAATGCACAAGATCACAGTTTCTTTTTCAAAGATAAACAAGATTGACAGACTGTTAACTAGACTCATGAAGGAAAAGGAAAACTCTATTAGTCCACACCAGGATCATTTCCTCTGACTTGATACAGGTGAGATACAGGAGATAGTGTCAATCTCCCTGAATCCTGGAAGAAGTTCCCAGGTCAACTGCCCTGTCTGCCGCTTCTTGGCCCATAGAAGAGTGCAGAATGTGAGAGAGACAAGCATAGAGTGATGGCTTTCATTTGCAGAATATAAGGAAAATTATGAGCATAATAGTCAAAGACAGTAGAAACAAGGGCCAGGACTTTTCCATGGTAGGAAGCTTGTCACAAAGGGAAGGGGGTGAGGTTAAGATAGAGAATGGATAGCTATGACAATAATAGCTGAAAATGACCATTCTGGCCAAGAACTGAATGCTGAAAAGTGGTAGATACAGTGATATGCATGATACCCTTTCAGTACACTGACAAAGCACGGAATGCCTTGAAGAGCGTAAAAGAAGTTGTTAAGAGGACGAAGAACCTCCGGCTCTGGGCACATCTTTTCGACTCCACCATTCTTCCTGCACTAACATACGCCTCAGAGACCTGGGCCCTATGAAAACAGAATGAGAATGCTCTTTGGTCTCCCAAAGAGGAATTGAAAGAGTCACACTTCACTCAAGTGAGAGAAAAAATCCAGACTTCCGACCTCCATCGACAATCAAGGATCAGGGACACTGTCTCACTTGCCAAGGCATTGAAAATCAGATGGGCTGGGCATATAATGCGACTTGGAGACAACCGCTGGACTAGAGCCATTACCGACTGGATTCCACGGGATGTCAAAAGAACGCCTGGCCACCCACCTATGAGATGGTTGGACTTCTTTGTTAAGATCCTGAATGAACAGTTTGATGCTTTTAGTGTTTCTGGAGAAAGCAGATGCCATTGGGCCACACTAGCACATGACAGGGACAAATGGAGATGTTACTATCGCCTGCTCTAGCAAATTGATGAGCAACAGGATGACAAGTGATACAAGTGATACCCTTTCATGAACAGTACTGCAAACCACAGTGCCTTAAAGGAAAAAAGGAAAATGAGAGAGAGATAGTGACAGAGACAGAGAGACATGTCTGCCAGAGGTAGGCTGCTGTGGGGATGAGTAGGAGGTGGAAAGAAACTGGGACATTGATAACAGGAAATGTACACTGGTGAAGATATGGGTGTTGGAATACTGTATGACCGAAACTCAATCATGAACTACTTTGTAAATGTATGACTCATAGTGATTCAATTAAAAACTCATAAAATAAAAAAGAATGCAGAACACTTCCATCCCAATGCCATTTCTCTGTGCCCTTCTACTCAGCTTCACCTCACCCTGCTGTGACCCTTGGCTCATTGCTTTCCAATGAGCCTCTCCTGAAACTCCAGCCCAACAGAACAGTAGGGTCCTCCCTTGGTTTTTCCAGAAGCTGTGCAATGCTTCCCTCTTTCAAACACCACCGGAAACATTTCGGACTCCTGAAGTGATCCCTCAGACTCTAGAGTGGCTTGGCTGCCCAACCACATGACACTGATCACTTAACCATTGCTCCAACCACCTTTTCCCACAGAAACTCACATAGGTAGCCATGGTAGTAATAAATCATTGAACCTTAAATTATAGCCCTAGCGGGGGCAGGGCCATTGAGAGTGCCAATCCCCCAGGATCCTCATGTGGAACTCTATCTGGATAAAAGCAACAATATAGGTTGGGGTAGAGCTCTTCCAGGGAAGGAAGAGAATTACACTCATTTGAAGCTCTCAGAGAGCTCCTGGAGTGTGGGTAGTACATTAGAAAGACTCACTCCTAGGCTGCATCAGACACAATGGGGAAGCAGTGTAGAACCTTCCCAAGCATAGTCAGTGAACATGGTAGCCTGCAAGACTTGTCCAGCACTAACAAGTTTAATAACCTGTCAGATAAGGACTGTAGAGATTTTAAGCAAACAATTCCCTAATGGAGGCCATGTGGCCATACTTAAATGAGATATACAAACTTCAAGATTTAAAAAAAAGCATTATAAAAGACAGGGATTATCATTTCTTAATGATCAAGGGACATATACCGCATGAAGAGCTCTCATACCTAAATACTTATGTACTGAATCAAGGATCATCAAAATATTTAAAGCAGTTCCTAACAGGTCTGAATAAAGGCACTAGTGGCAATACAATAGTACTTGGAGACTACTACAACACCACTTTTTCGACTCTGGATAGATCAACTAGATGAAAATTCAAATAAAAAAATAACACGGACTTTGAAAGAAGAAATGAAAGAGATAAGTTTAGAAGACATATGTAGTCTCTACATTCCCCCAAAGTTGAGTACATGCTACTCTCTAGTAATAGATCACATACTGGTCACAAAATGTATCTCTATAAAATCAACAATATAGACATGCCTCAAAACACTAGTAATTGATTCAGTAACTCCAGTTCTTGGTATGTAACCCAAGGGCCTAAAAACTGTTCCAAAAACACATTTGCACTGCTATGTTCATCACAACACTTCATAGCAGCCAAAGTTGGGAACAACCCATGCCCAATATCAGATGATTGGATAAAGAAACCAAATAGATAGATAGATAGATAGATAGATAGAAGATATATAGATAGATAATTGATAGATAGATAGATAGATAGATAGATAGATAGATAGATAGATGATAGATAGATACTACTAGGCAATAAGAAAGGAAAAATTCATATATACAATTTGCTGTTATGTGAACAGGGGTTGGAGCGATAGCACAGTGGGTAGGGTGTTTGCCTTGTACCCAGCCTACCCAGCTGACCCAGTTTCGATTCCTCCACCCTTCTCAGAGAGCCTGGCAAGCTAATAAGAGTATCTTGCCCAAACAGGAAAGCCTGGCAAGCTCTCCAGGACGTATTCCATATGCCAAACACAGTAACAAGTGTCACAATGGAGATGTTACTGGGCCCACTTGGGCAAATCGATGAACAATGGGAGGACAGTGACAGTGACAGTGAATGGGTTTCATAGTAGTATCATGCTGAGTAAAATTAGAAAGAAAGGAACAGATTGAGTATGATAATTCTCATGTACTGGAAATAAAGGAACATAGTAAGAGAATAAAAAAAATGGCTAAAGTTAACAAAACATGAGAACTGATCTATAAAATTGAACTTTACCAATGGTGAAGGATGGATAGAAGAGGACCCTGAGATAATGGTGGATAGCAAAGGACACTCTGGTAGAGGGAGTGATATTACAATGCTTCAAAAATCCTATCATTAACAATATTGTAAATCACAATGTTTTGGAAAAAATAATGAGTTTGCCAAGTGAGCTGTAGAGGAAATCTTGAGATATTGATGGAGAGTCACTAACATTGGTGCTAAGTGTGGAGTCGTGACATTGTATTGAATGCCTGAAACTTTATTAACAGAACTAATAAAATAAACACATATATAAATACCTTAATTCCTTTGGGGCAAATACAAGACTAGAAGGTTGAGGCCAGGAAGATATCTTAATTTTATGAAATATAAGCTTTTTGTATAAAAGATCAGCTTCAGTTCCCAGTTCCACAGAGTCCCCTGAGCACAACCAGGAATAACCCATCTGCACTATGCAAGGAGTAGAACCTAATCACTGCCAAATAAGACCAATGAACAGCAATAAAAATGAGGAAGTAGAGAAGAGTGTTGGAAGTCATATTTTTGAGGAACCTTTCCAGCAGGATTTCCAGATCTCCTATTCCAAAGAGTGTCACCTCTGTCAATCTGCTTTTAGTCAGATAGGTGACAATGGGCTTTAAAATCAAGTTAGTTTCATTTCCATAATTAATCTAATCAAAATGAATAGCCCGGTGGCTTCCCATGTACCCATCCATGCATGCATCCATTTTAGTCTTTCAGATAGGCCAGGATACTGACTGGTATATTTTCTCACTATATTCTGAGTTCCCAAATACCATTTAGCTTAGAGCCCATTCTGTAGTAAAAAAAAAAAAAGTAACACAAATAACTGGCTTATTCAAAGAAATGTAAAATGCACATAAATAATTCTTGAAGTTATTGAGAGTCTGCACATACCGCTAAAGAGAATACTTCCTGTCCATTCTGAATGTCCCACAGCTTGGCCTTTGTGTCCATACTTCCTGTAGCTACCAATGTGCTTTGAGGGTTGAATGATAAACACACCTGAAATAAGGAAACATAAGAGGCTTCAGACAGAGTCTTAAATTGCTAACTTTATTCAGGAAAGCTTCCAGGTACAATTACGTCAGCAGACTGAGTCTCATTCTTGTGCATTATGTAGCATTGCCAATGGGGATAGCACTGTAGCACTGTCCTCCCGTTGTTCATCTATTTGCTTGAGCGGGCACCAGTAACATCTCCATTGTGAGACTTGTTACTGTTTTTGGCATATCGAATACATCAAGGTTAGCTTGCCAAGCTTTGTTGTGTGGGCACTATACTCTTGGTAGCTTGCCGGGCTCTCCGAGAGGGGCGAAGGAATCCAACCGGGGTCGGCCCGGATCTGCTGTGTGCAAGGCAAGTGCCCTACCCGCTGTCCTATCCCTCCAGCCCGCCAATGGGGATACAAAATATACAACTATGAATATTAGCTTTCTCTTCCCTTGGTGGGAGGTTGTTTTTTCTGCCACATCACCCAAGGACCACGGGGCCCTTCTTGTCTTTGCTATTTCCAGATCACACTAAGAGTGGGACTAAAAGTATAACCCATATCCTTTGAGATTCATGCCATCTTATTTGCATACTTATTACAATCCAGTAACAATACAGTCCTTTCAATAACACCCTCCTAATTCATGAAGGATTTGAGTTATTAAATCACAATATTGTCTTTAAGTCTATGTGGCAGACATGTGTGAAATCATGCAGTTACCTCAGGATTCTGTCGTGAATCCCTTGTCAGAAGTCTCTTCCATGGCCATACCCCGGACCTTAAGAGTACCTCTTCTCAAAGACTCACTATCAACCCTTCATCTCATCTCTATAATGCTCCCCTATCTTTCACCTCATTAAGAAACATTCTTTTTCTCATGGTCTTTATCCCCGTTTAACTGATACCTTAGAAACACCCCTCCAAGCATCCTGATAACTCTCAGTCCTTTTAGTACAATGTAACCCTCCAGAAAACTCCTACCAAGATTTAAGAGAGACCAAGCTGGAATTTTACCCACTCACTCACTCACACTCTACTCCATTACCTAGTGAATAGTTTAGGAAAACTGCTTAGCAAAGTACTACTGGAGTTCATTCATGCCTCTGTCCTCTATTGTCTGCTACTTGATATCATGCCCTTCTTTGATCAACTTGCTTTCAGCTCATTGGCTCTACCACGATCCTCCCTCCACCCCTACCTTCATTTATCCTCTATGAATAGCCTGATCTCTGACTACCTCCCTGAGAAATTTCACCTCCCAACCAGGAAATTCCTCGACTGACCCTCACTGACCTTTCCTTCTGTCTCATACTCAGAGGACTCTTCTATTTTAAGATGCTTCCTCCCTCTCCTTGAACTTGGAGGAAAGATGTTCCCATTAACTTTCCCTTTCTTCTCATCTAGGTGCTTATCAATGACCTATAAATATGCTTACATTTTTTTCAATATAAAAACTAAGTCTTTAATAATCTTAAGTTCCCAGTTTTAGCTATTCTTTCTCCCTTTGCAACCAAATTTTGTGGGAAAAATAGCTTACCATCACTCACTGCCAAATAGACTTGATGGCTCCCCTCCTAATTTCTAGTACACCTGTGATACACCTTTAAACTTACTCAATCTACTTTGTCTACTAAATTGTGAAATCCCGGAAGGCTAACAACAATGCCTGGTAGCATTTTCTATCTCACACCGTTGATATTTGGCAAATATTTGGCTATTTATGTTACTGACTGTAAAACTATTAGGAACCAAGGAACTATTTAGAAATAAACATTTTTTTAATTGAAGGGAGAATGAGAACATGATCTTCCACAAGAATGATAACTAGGGGCTGGAGCGATAGCACAGCAGGTAAGGCGTTTGCCTTGCACGCAGCCAACATGGCCAACACGGGTTCGATTCCCAGCATCCCATATGGTCCCCCGAGCACCGCCAGGAGTGATTCCTGAGTGCAAGAGCCAGGAGTAACCCTGACCATTGCCGGGTGTGACCCAAAAAAGCAAAAAAAAAAAATGAGAACTATGTCTACCTTATCATCTTGGACAAGCTACTTGAGCTCTTTATGCCTCAATATGCTCACCTGTAAAATACCAAAAATATCTACCTCTTCAGTATGGTATGAGGCACAATCAAGCTAACATATGCAAAAACATAGGACCTTATTCACGTACACAATGTCGTTAAAGATTAGTTAGAATTTTTCACTGCAGTTGCCCTAGTGTCTAGCAAATTACCTTGAGCTTAGAAGAAGCTACTGCTGGATATCATGAATCTGAAGAATGAATATAAAATGCACTCCTAGAATAATCTGTTTATATTTAAAAGCTATCATTTTTTTCCTGAAAGGGTGCCAATTATCTCAATAATTGCTATAAGATGTAATGTAGAGTGGGCAAAGGGCAAGGGCTATCCAATAGAAATGAAAACTATTTAGAGCATCAAATTGCTTATGCAAATTTGAGCTCCTATGATAGCCAGAAAACGATTAATGTAAATATTTCACTTGATATAAAAAGGCTTTTTGCAAAGCTATTTTAAGAGCTTGATTAAGACTCATTTAGTTAGCCCTTTAAAGGCAAGCCAGTGAAAAAGAAAAAGTTCGTTTGGAAATTGTACTGGAGAGTGGTTTGTAAATTATATTGAGACCACCATATAAATTATACTGAGTCCACCACATAAAACATAGACTATAAAACAAATTAAATTACAAATAGAACCAGTAGTCTATAACAGGATCCTTAAAAATCAGCAGCTCTGGTCCTTGTGAAAGCATGCTGGTCCTTGTGAAAGCATCCCTACAGGCCCATCAATTGTAACAAATGCAGCATCCTGTTGGGGGGTGGGGGTTCAGAGGCATGTTTCCGGAAAGGGGAAACTTTCTGAGGAAGCTCCATCTTCTACTCAAATTTACTGTGAACTGTCTTGGAAATAGAGTCAATTTAAAAAGAGAAAAAAATTATTGTTGTTGTTTCTAAAAGCATTTATACTATACTCCCCAGACTCCAATGATTTCGATAGATAACTGGATAAAAAAACAAACTGCAGTACATATACACAATGGAACACTACTCATCCATAACAAAAAAAAAAAAACAAAGTCACCCAATTTTGCTGTTATGTGGATAGATAGGGAAAGAAACATACTGAGTAAAATTAATCAAGGGGAGGGCAGACAAAGAAAGACCTCTTTCATATATGGAATATAAAGAAACATAGGAAGGGAATAACACATGCCCAAAGACAATAGAAATAAAGTTCATGAAAACTGGTGTTCGGTAAGAACCTTGCCACTGGGGTGGGGTTGGGAGTTGTGTAGGAGAGTTCAGGGATGAGAACATTATGATAATGGTGGGGGAGGTGGTCACTCTGGAGGAGGAAGGGATGCTGAAAGGAGGCAAAGTGATATGCATGAGACCCTACCAGCAACAGCATCATAAACACATTGCTTAAAAGGAGGGGAAAAAGGAGGAAAAAGTGCCTGCCAAAGAGATTTAGGTTGGGAAGTGGGCGGGAAACTGGGGATACTGGTGGAAGATAGTGACACTGGTGAAGGAATGGGTGTTGCAACATTGCACACTTGAAATTCACTCATGAATAATTTTGCAATTCATGGTGATTTAACAGAGCACAATAAGATATCGCTAATAAATATACTCACTATTTCTGCTGTATGGCCACGAAATGTATGGTAGCATTTTCCTGTTTCTACACTCCATAGTTTACAGGTCTTATCAAAGGACCCAGTGGCAATTTTGTCACTAAGATTAAAAAAAAATTGGGTTTAAAAATTCAAAGTATATGACATATGAAAGAAAACAAGCTATGTTAATACATAGGACACTATTGAAATTTACTTTTAAAATAATAAGAAACCTGATTTTTAACTAGATTATAAAAAGTAAAGGTCTAATATTTCAATGGCATAAGGTTATTTGTATAATTTTGAGGGTTTTTTTACCTTATATCAATTCGTGGTTAATTTTAACAGGCAAATAAATACAGAAAAATAATTTTACATTGAGAAAATTTTCAACAGCTGAAAACAAAGTGTAATGACTTCTATAAACACAGAGACATTTTATTATCAGGACAACTGGAAAAAGAACATTTTTTTATTTTGAATGAATGGAAATGAAAAGATAATAAGAGATAAAAATCTAACAATATGGCTAGTTAAGGTCTAAGTACATTAAACAGGAAGTATCTACTTAGAAAAATAATACCACTTCGAGTGATGCTAAGTTCATTGAATAAGAACAGCATGTAAAGAGGAGATAGGAGAAAAAACCCATTTCCTTTAAAATTAGAGGTCCTTCTATTTGGAGGACCAGCTCGCTAGGGTTGGGAGATGCAAGCCGAATGTAGACTATAGATCGAAAACAATGGCCACTCACTCAATGCCTCTACTGCAAACTACAACACCCAAAAGGAAAGAGAGAACAAAAGGTAATGCCCTACCTCAGAGGCAGGGTGGGTATGGGGTGATGGGGTGGGAATGGTAGAAGGGATACTGGGATCATTGGTGGCGGAGAATAGGCACTGGTAAAGGGATGGGTATTGGATCATTGTATGACTGAAACACGAGCACGAAAGTTTGTAAGTCTGTAACTGTACCTCACGGTGATTCAGTGTTGATAATAAAGAGGATAGTTGTCCAGAGCTTGCTTTATCTTTGACCCACTTTCCACTGTCACTGTCACTGTCACTGTCCTCCTGTTTGTTCGAGTGGGCCCAGTAACATTTCCATTGTGAGACTTGTTGTTACTGTGTTTGGCATATCAAATAAGTCACGGGTAGTTTTGCCATGCGGGTGAGATACTCTTGGTAGCTTGCCAGGCTCTCTGAGAGGAGCAGAGGAATTGAACCCTACTATCCAAATATTTTTATCTCCATCCATAACTATTACTTGCATAATAAAGTCATCAAAGTGTTCGCTCGGGGCCCAAGGTTTGTTGCTCAATGGTAAGAACATTTGTATTCTGTGAGGTCCTGAGTTTGATCCCCAGCGCCTCAAAATTTAGAAAGGAAATGTTAACCTAGCTGGTCCATCATGTACAATGCAATGTTTATTTTTCAGAAGTAAAGTGTACCCAAAATACAAATTCCAAAAAAAATGATTAATTTGCAGCACTGCATATTTTTCTACACTGACACTGACACTTTGCTTCCCCCTTTCTTCTCAGAACACCCACTCAGTATTGCTCTGGTAGCTGGAAACAACAAGGTCCTTCCTGGGCATGTTTCAGAATGCTGCTCAGAGAAATGTCTACCCACCAATTCTAACTCAAGGCTGCTTCTCCACACAGACGCTATCCTGGATTTCTCCTTTGGCATCCCACCCTAAGGCATATCCTATCAGCTGCTGAGGACTTTCAACCCTGCTCAAGACACAGTGAAAATCCTCTGAGCTCTTCCTCCATGTTCTTCACTCTACTTCTCTTTTTAAAGCCCCTCATGTGATCTTAAGTCACAATCGTTTCCTGATCAATTTGTCATTTATCATTTATTATCTATTTCACTGTGACACATTGTAACATTATTAAATATAGTAAGTTCAATACCTTTTATAATGATTTATTGAATCAAAGTCTTAATTCTGATCTTATGTGCATACCACATAAACACTGAGATGATATTCTCTCTCTACATTTCTGTCTCTCTCTCACACAAAGAAATGCACACACACATACACACACACACACACACACACACACACACCTCAGTCTCTCATTTATCTCTCTCACACACCACCTTCCTGTTTAATTTTTTCTTTTTGTGGATCATTTAAACTCACTCAGCCAAAACCCCAGAGCCCCCAAATCCAGTGAAAATCCCTCCTTTTGTCCATTAACAAATCATCAAACTGTGTGTCATTCAATAAGCCACTTTTTCTTCAGGACTACAGACAGAATCTCAGTAGAAGGTCCAAAAAGTAAGGAGTGTTCCTCCCATTCCTAAGTTCTCAGACAAACATTAAAAATATCGCTAGTGTGTTAAGCATACTGTGAAAATACATGGCATTATATTATAAAGAAAGAGCTTCCAACCTTCATTAAATAGGATTGCAATTAAACTAGGAATCTGTTAGTAATAACATCTACAATAATTTTTTTCTCTCCCTTCATTATGTGTAATAAGGTACAATCAAAATTAAGGTCCAAGCAAGACAGAAATAGAAAGGGCCCCCTGATGGAAAAAAAAGACAAACTCACTACATGCAGATGATATGATACTGGACTAGAAAACTAAAGACTCAAGTTTATAAAAGTTCCTAGAAATAATAAGATCACACAGCATCATTCTGCAGAAATCCACGGCACTTTTATATCATACAGTAAAAGAGGAAGATTAAAAACCCAAAGCATTCTCAATTCTACCTCAGAAAATCAAATACCAACTTAACAAAAGAGGTTAAAAATTTATACAAAGAAAACTGTAAATTATGACCAAAGAAAGTAAAAGAACACATGTGGAAATGGAAACAGTCTCCTGTTCATGGGTCAGAAGGACAGATATTGTCAAAATGACAACCTTGCTCAAAGCATCATATAGATTCAATGCAGTTCCTCTGAAAATACCCAGGCCATTTTGTAAAGACAGAAGCAACACACTGTTGAACTTATATGGAATAATAAATTCTATTCCCCCACATAGCTAAAGTCATCCTAGAAAAAAAGAAATGGGAAATTGCTCTTTCTCCAACTTCAAGCAATACTATAATGCTGTAGTAATCAAAACAATGTGGTAGATGGATAAGGGTAGACTCTAAGACTAATGGAATGGAATTGAGAGTTCAGAGATAGATCCTCAGGCATCTGGAGAGTTCATCTTTTACTATAGCACTATAGCACTGTCCTCCCATTGTTCATCAATTTGCTTGAGCAGGTACTAGTAACATCTACATTATTAGACTGGTTGTTACTATTTTTGGCATATCAAATACACCATGGGGATCTTGCCAGGCTCTGCTGCGCGGGTGAGATACTCTCGGTAGCTTGCCGGGCTCTCCGAAAGGGATGGATGAATCAAACCCAGTTCAGCCGTGTACAAGGCAAACGCCCTACCCGCTGTGCTATGGCTCAAGCCCAGTCTTTTACAAAGTAGTAAAAAATATAAAGTGGAACAAAGCCTCTTTGACAAATAGTTTTTGGAAAATTGGTGAGTCACATGAAAAAGGAAAAAAAAAGACTTCAGATCCCTAATACCGAGCACAAAATTGGACTAAAGACACATATAGCAGCCCAGAATTCAGAGATTATATTGTGGAAAACATAGGAGGAAAACTTCAAGGCACTGCATCTAGAGGCTTCTTCAATTTGTCAATAATGTCCTTGGCCAAGCTACAGGAAGCAAAGATGAAAATTTGGGGTTACATTAAACTCAGAAGCTTCTGCATTGCAAAAGAAATGATCACCAGAGACTGGGAGAAATTATTTGTCCACCACTAATCTGATAAGGTGTTAATATCCAAGATATGTAAAGCACTGGTAGAATCTTAAAGAGAAAAGAAAAGTGTCAACCCCATCAAAAAATGGTTGGGGTTTGGGAATTGCAAGTAGATGAACAAAAACTTCCGCAAAGACGACTTGCAGATAGTCAACAGTATATGGGAATGCTCAGAATCATTTATTAGAAAAATACAATGTAAATGAGATACCAACTTAGTGAGAGTGGCACACATCACAAAGAACAAAACAGCCAGTGTTGGTATGAATGCAGGGTGGGAGGAACCTCCTTCACTGCTGGTTGGAATGTTGATTGGTCCAAACTTTTTGGAAAGCAATATGGACACTTGACAGAAAACTAGGAATTAAATTCCCATATGACCAGCAATTTCCTTCTCAGAATTTATCCAAAGACCCAAAATCTCTATTTAGAAAAGACATAGGCACGAGGACATAGGCACCCCTATGTTCACTGCAGACTGGAAACATCCCAAGTGTCCAAGAACAGATGACTGGATAAACTATGGTTCATCTGTACAATGGAATACTACTCAGCTATAAAAATTAATAATAGAAGCACACAACTGGCTACTACATGGATAGATCTGGAGAATATCATATGAATGAAGTTAGAGAGAAATATAGGGACGTGAACAGAATGATCTCTCTCACATATGAAATATAAAGAAACAGAGTAGGGTAATAACAAATATCTAAAGGCAACAGAAATAGAGATCATGCAAACTGGTCTTCAGTAGGAAACTTACCAGGACAGGAGGCAGTGAGATTGGGGGAGGGGGGTTGTGAAGAATGCAGAGGGCATAGAATGGGGGGAGGGGGGACACTTGAACAATGGTGGAAGGAAGTGGATGGTCTAGTGGGGGCGGTGGTGCTAGAAGGATTCATTCAAGACACTCTACCATTAACAGTACTGTAAACCACAGTGCCTAAACAAAAATAAAATTGTTCAGTTTTTATTAAAAAAGAAAAAGGGAAACGGTATTTTCTATGATGTAAAGGTGCATATATCAAACTTAAAATTTCTGTAATTTATTTTGCATATATGATTATTTTATTATAGCAATTAACTTTATTGTCCATCACAATGTGCTTTGAAAGAATATTGCATTTTTAAATATATGATATAAAATGCAGGATATAAAAACCTAGACTTCAATATTTTTTTTAATTTTCTGGTATAAAAGTTCTATTCTATGTCTATTAAAATGTTATGAAACTCCCATTGCCTCTGTCATCATTCTAGACTAAATTTCTGTCATGGCAAGAATTATTGTGTCTGTCTCATAGCTAATTATCTTGTCCCCTGTTGGTGTCCTACCACAAAACCTATAATCCTTTCTCTCTGCAAAACAATCCTAAAATAGCCTTTTCATTGTGCCATTCTTTTGTCCACAAACCTTTCATAGCAATTCATTCCTTCAGGACAGAGGCTGAATGCCGTGAAATGCTCTGATTGCGAGTATTTATGTTTCTTAATGTTTGCTAGGTGGATAACCATGAATGCACTTGACAATGCTCTGCCTAAATCAGAACTACTAGTCTCTCTCTATTCCTCACACTTTCTTTTTCAAACATCCACTTTAACTTCAGACCATCCTTAAAGATGTTAGTTAGAAGAAATTATCAGACTCTATCTCCTCTTAGTTTTTGGTGATTGACTGTTTTGTTCTAGTCATCTTAACACAGCAGAAAAAGAATCATCTTTATTGTACCAGCATGGTTAATGCAAAAAGCCAGTGAAAGTGGGAAATAATAGGAAAAGATAAATGTTTAGTTTTTTTTTACTCAAACTGGTGCAAAATGTAGTTATTAAGAATCTTTTGACAGTAAACTATGATCTTTTTATTTTGGACTATGGGTCAGCTAATTGGAGTTCATTATCTGTCTTACAGAAGTCATGTTCAACCAAAGTAATTTCCAAACTGGGAGGAGGAGGCAAAAAGACCGGTCCAAGTTTTTAATGAAATGCTATTTTAAATAAATTATTTTCCAAGAACAACCAAGCAGAATTTTTCTAAATTTTTACAAAATATTTTCTAACTTTCATAATGATCTCAGCTTCATCTAACAAGATATTTTTTCAAATAATTACCTTATTTTTTAATTTTATTTTCACCCTCCAATGTCATGAATTTAAGCAGAATTTAATTAAAACACCTATTAAATTACATAATTATCATTGTAATCATGCCCAACATTAGCAATTGTTGATAAAGACAATGAAATTTTGTTTAGCTCATAACTGAACCAGTATGAAAAGAAGTTTGGTATACTATACTTTGATAGGAAAAATAAAATTAAAAATAAATATTTAGGATATCATGAGTGTCATTCATGTGATAAGCAAAAATGATAAGTAGAAAATATTTAGTTAATCTGATCTGGTTAAGCCAGAAGATGATTTTACACTGTGTCTATTGTACTATTTAGCTCTTCAGTATGCTCCTATATACACGTGTTTTTGTCCCACCTGGTGATATTTTAAGTTAACTTCTAAGAATATTCTGCTGCTATAAACATCAGTGCTAGAGCATCCCAAAGACAGGCTTGCTTAAGTCTATCTGTCTCATTGTTACTGCAAGATCCTGGAAGAGGATTCAAACTCTGTTTTATTTAATTAATTTATTTTTTTATTGATGGTGGATGTAACGCCTACATACTGGAAGATGGGGGATCTGGGTGGAGGAGGCCCAGTCCCAATCCGAGCAGGCTTGGAGATCTATGCCCCGGGTCCTGCACACCTGGGTTCCTCAGCCAGTTCCTTCATGCATGAGGCTCGTCCGAAAGTGTGGAGAGTGGTCTTAAGCATGGCTGTGGCTGGAACCGGAGGTCTTCAGCTGCCGGGGCTCTGCTCAGGGTGGGGAGGGAAACTCAACCCACCCTCCTCCAAGGGGCCTTGGTGAGGACAGATTCTCCTGCCTCCACACCTGGCTGTCCTCACCGGGGCCCCTTGGAGGACGACCCTCACGCATGTTATCATCTAGTTCTTACTCTGGAGAAACTGGCAGGCTACCAAAAGTATTCTGCTCACACGGCAGAGTCTGGCAAACTCCCTGTGGCGTATTCAGTATGCCAAAAACCAGTAACAATGATGGGTCTCATTCTCCTGACCCTGAAAGAGCCTTTAATGTGGCACTTTTTAAAATCTCAGGGCTAGGACAAAGGAGACGTTACTGGGGCCTGCTCAAGGCAATCAATGACCAACAGGATGACAGTCATACAATGTGACTTTTATTGAATCACTGTGAGCTACAGTTACAGCACTTTCATGTTTTAGTTTCACTCCTACAATGATCGAACACTTATCCCTCCACCAGTGAACATTTTCCACCACCAATGTCCCCAGTGGACACCCCATCCCACCCCTCCCACTGCCTCTATGGCAGACAATTTCTCTCTCTCTCTCTCTCTCTCTCTCTCTCTCTCTCTCTCTCTCTCTCGGCATTATAGTTTGCAATACAGATACTGAGAGGCCATCATGTTTGTTTCTTTATCCACTTTCAGCACACATCATCTAACCCAAAGCTCCTTTGAGCAGTGAAGGGCATGTTCAGAAGACTTCCAAATCATGCATTGAGCACTCACTACATTTTAGCTATCTTCTCCTTTCCCTTCCCCAGAGGTAAAGGTAAAGGTAAAGGCCCTCCCGTTGATCATCGATTTGCTCGAGCGGGCCCAATAACGTCTCCATTGGAGACTTCGTTGTTACTGTGTTTGGCATATCCAATACGTCACAGGGAGCTTGGGCTGGAGCGATAGCACAGCGGTAGGGCGTTTGCCTTGCACGCAGCCAACATGGCTGACCTGAGTTCCCCAGAGAGGAAAGAAAAAAAGTATAAATATGGAGAGAGGCTTAAAGAATAAAGGAAAGAGAGAGGCTTCTCTCACCCATAGGGATTGTTGAATGCTATGGCGTAGACCACGTTCCTGTGCCCCTCCAGAGTGTGGAGCTCCTCGCCAGAGGCTGTGTCCCACACTTTGCATGTCCGATCATAGCTCCCTGTGATAAAGCTAACACAAACAAGAGAACTCAATTACAAGGCAAGAACAGCAGTGTGTTAACAAACAGTTCAATTTTTTTTTTAACCTGGCAGGAATAAGGCCCCACCTATTTTACCTTTTGCAGCACAGCGGGTAGGGCGTTTGCCTTACAAGCGGCCAACATGGCCGACCCGAGTTCGATTCCTCCGCCCCTCTCGGAGAGCCCGGCAAGCTACCGAGAGTATTGGATATGCCAGACACAGTAACAACAAAGTCTCCAATGGAGACGTTACTGGGCCCGCTCGAGCAAATCGATGATCAATGGTAGGGCCATGGAAATAGTGTATTCAAACAAACAGTTCAACTGGGATAAGTATACACATCTTCTCACAAAAAAAAAAAATCACACACAAAAGAATTGAGCACAGATGCCAAACGAACTCATGAAATAAAGAGCCATTCCACCAGCAACCGTTTGCAGGGTATAAATCAGATCATTTAAATAACATTGGTGGTGTTGGGGGCTGGAGCAATAGCACAGCAGGTAGGTGTTTGCCTTGCACGTGGCCGACCCAGGTTCAATTCCTGGCATCCCATATGGTCCCCCGAGCACTGCCAGGAGTGGTTCCTGACTGCAAAGCCAGGAGTAACCTCTGAGCATCACAGGGCATGATCCCAAAAAGCAAAATAAATAAATAAATAAATAAATAACCTTGGTGATCAAGAACATTTTCTGAAACAAACTCATCTTGATACTCACTTCTAAAAGGGGCCTGACCAGAAAGTGACAGCGCCCTCCACAACTCCATTCTGTCCCTTCCATCCCACATGTGTCTTCTGAAATTCTACCTGAAAATCTCAAAAAAATATATTTCTAGGAGCTCCACAACCTCCATCTTTTTCCTCAATACATGAAACTACTTTCTAATGATTCTTAGTCTATCAGCCTTCTAAATTTCCTCTAAGAACCTAGTGTTCCTTTTGAAACCTTCCTCTAAAGGTTTCTGAGCCAGTCAGAGAAAAATTCAATCTTCTGCTCAAGGTATATAAAGCCATCAGCAGCCACAACTACCTCGGAGACCTCAACTTTCCCCTAAAACATACCCACACCAGCTATGGGCACCTTTGTGCTTATCTCTGCAGAGTTGGGCTGTTTGTTTAAGGCACATAATCCTTCTACTCATCTAGTTTACCATGACGACCATCACCAGGACCTGGAACAATACCTGGGACACTAATAAATGGTCACAAATATTTAGCAGTGGACTGATTAACTGGGACTTAATTCTACTACATCCAATATTTTAAAAGTCAGATAACAGCATCTTATTTTCTTTTCCTCCCGTTGTTTGTCAATTTGCTCGAGCAGGCCCAGTAACGTCTCCATTGGAGACTTTGTTGTTACTGTGTTTGGCATATCGAATACGTCATGGGGAGCTTGCCAGGCTCTGCCGTGCGGGCAAGATACTCTCGTAGCTTGCCAGGCTCTCCGAGAGGGGCGGAGGAATCGAACTCGGGTTGGCCATGTTGGTTGCGTGCAAGGCAAACGCCCTACCGCTGTGCTATCGCTCCAGCCCTTATATATTCTTTAAATATCTTAGTGAAACTTTGTATATGACTCAGCAGTCTCTATAAAATTCATGCAGATTTCAGTATATCACAAATATTAAAGAAAATTCAGGTTAGAATAGAGAGGAACAGGACCTGTTTTACTCTTAAAATTCAGCAGATTAAGGCCAGAGAGAAAGTACAGCAGGAAGGGCATTCGATACCCAGAACCCCATATGGTACCCAAAGGCTGCCTGGAGAACAGACCCTATGCACCATTGTTTGTGGCCACAAAACAAAACAAAACAAATTTCAGCAGGGTATTGAAATGAGAGGAATAAGCAGGTCATATACCTAATGCCAACTTCTTGCAAAAATACTGTAGCACTGTAACCCTGTCCTCCCATTGTTCATCAATTTGCTTGAGCGGGCACCAATAATGTCTCCATTATGAAACTTGTTGTTAATGTTTTTGGCATATCTAATATGCCACAGGGAGCATGCCAGTTTCTGCTGTGTGGTCATGATACTCTCGGTAGTTTGCCTGCTCTCCGAGAGGGGCAGAGGAATAGAACCTAGGTCGGCCATGTGCAAGGCAAATGCCCTACCTGTTGTGCTATCTCTACAGCCTTGCAAAAATCACAAATGTTTTTATTCCTTAACCTTTAATACACTGTTTATAGAAATGCAACTGGTCCAGCTGTGAAAAACAGTAACTAAACACGTGTTTGACCGACTCTATCAACAAGATGAAAGAATCCTTTTGCATTCCTGTCACTTGGCTGTTGTTTGAGACTATAGTTCAGCTGGGATGGAAGTAGTCTAACTGGCAACACTGCCATCTTCCATTGTCCACTTTCAAAGACCCAATCACTTCTCCTTTCATTTCTAGGTCAGTCACTCTCTCCCCGGCTATACCAGCCATAGATTCGTGATGCACAAAACAGCATCAGGCCAAATCAAGCGCAATAAGAAATGATGTTACCATGGCAAACAGAAGATACACAAGAACAGCTGTTGCATCATTAGGCCACAAGCATAGGGAACCATTGGCGTATGTGTAGAACATCCCCAGCACTTGAATGTAGATGCCCATCAATCCACAGAAAGGAGACAATCAAGGGTGAACCCTCTTGCACTCTATGAACTTTGAGAGATGAGAGTGTGTCCACTTAGGTACGAGAACTGCAGCAAAGATGTGACAGTGAGGAAGGTCATGCATGGGGATAGAGGTAGGTGGGAAATCAACGAGCCTTCTGTTCATTTATCTCTCCTTTTTTTTCTAAAATAATTTTAAAATCTTCTCTTAACATTTAGCACAGCAGGTAGGGCGTTCGCCTTACACGCGGCCAACATGGCCGACCCGAGTTCGATTCCTCCGCCCCTCTCGGAGAGCCCGGCAAGCTACCGAGAGTATTCGATATGCCAGACACAGTAACAACAAAGTCTCCAATGGAGACGTTACTGGGCCCGCTCGAGCAAAATCGACGATCAACGGGAGGGCCTTTACCTTTACCTTTACCTTTACCTTAACATAAGTCAAGTGAGCCTTACCATGAGCCTGATTTGTTAAGTGCAACATTAGTCAGTGGCAGGATGTGTGCTCGGAGAACCTTCAAGGAAAGAAAGTTTAATTCATTCATGTTAGCTCCAAGCCATCAAAAAGTTCAAGTTTTTCATAATTATACTTAATACATAGAGAATAGCTGAGCAAACAAGGAAAATACCTTTCACCTTCTATTATTTAGACGCAATAGCACTTGAGAGTTTTGATAATTATATATATGTATATGTATATATGTGTGTATATATAATATATATATTTGTTTTCTACCCATTGGTTCTTAATAATGGTATATAAGCTTTTATTATAAGTATTGCACATGGCCTTTTGTATTTATAAAGAAAGCATACAGAAAAGATGTTTCTAATTAAGACTTTACAATATTACTATTTAAAATCACTCTCGGCAGCTTGCCGGGCTCTCCGAGAGGGGCGGAGGAATCGAACTCAAGTCGGCCATGTTGGGCTGGAGCGATAGCACAGTGGTAGGGCGTTTGCCTTGCACGCAGCCAACATGACCGACCTGAGTTCGATTCCTCCGCCCCTCTCGGAGAGCCCGGCAAGCTGCCGAGAGTATCTCGCCCGCACGGCAGAGCCTGGCAAGCTCCCCGTGACGTATTCGATATGCCAGACACAGTAACAACAAAGTCTCCAATGGAGACGTTACTGGGCCCGCTCGAGCAAATCGAAGAACAACGGGAGGGACTTTACCTTTACCTTTACCTATTACTATTTAAAGTCACTATTACTATTTAAAATCACCTCTATTTAAAGCTCCAATATGTTTTCTAGCACATATTTAAGTGGGTCATCTCTTTAAAGATAGCAATTTGCTGAATATGAAGAGTACAGTTGGGGACCACAGTAGAACTATTAAGAGCATCACATATCCAGGGCACAGCAGGTAAGGTATTTGCCTTGCACGCAGCTGACCAGGGTTTGATTCCCAGCATCCCATATGGTCCCCTGAGCACCGCCAGGAGTGATTCCTGAGTGCAGAGCCAGGAGTAACCCCTGAGAATCTCCAGGTGTGACCCAAAAAGAAAAAAAAAAGAGCATCACATGTCACTACCAAAAATGATCCCATTGTCCCATTGGAGGATAAATTACAGTGACTTGAGTTATAGAGCAATTTGTTGTGAAATAGTGCCATCTTCTGGAAATATTGCGAGAGGACAATCAGAAATTTGAAAGGACGAATACAATTTAAAAAAGATCTGTAATTTTTAGTAACAGCTGAAAAATAATGAGTTCATGAAAAATATACACATTATTATTATAAAAATATTTTAATAAGAAAAATCAGTAGACTATGACTCAATTCTAGAAAAAATATTAAATTTGTTAATAAAAAGTTGTTCTTCAAAGAAATAAATGAATACAGATATTTCAACTTATTCATCCAAAACTATAAAAAACTAAAAATATTCAATTTCATTATAATAAAAAATTATCTGAGGTTTTGTTAAGTTCACATAGAAACAGGTAGTTCAAAACATGAAAGAACAATTTCTATATTTTTTTTATCTTTTTTTTATTAGTGAAACACCATGAGGTACAGTTATAGACTTATAAATTTTTTGTGCTTGGGTTTCAGTTATACAATGGTCAAGTACCCATCCCTCCACCAGTGCCCATCCTCCCCCACCACGGGTCCTAGCATCCCTCCCACCCCCTCATCCCCCCCGTCCCACCCCGCCGCTGTGGCAGGGCATTCCCCCTTGTTCTCTCTCTCTTCTTTTGGGTACTGTGTTTTGCAAGAGAGCCATTGAGTGGCAATCATGTTTGGTCTATAGACTACTTTTAGCATGTCTCTCCCACCCTGAAAAAATTTTTACTGGGTATTGGAGAAATAGCAAAGTGGGAAAGGAGTTTGCCTTATAGCAGTCAACCTGGGTTTAATCTGTGGCATCCATAATGTCCCCCAGTCCACCAGGAGTGATCCCTTGGTGCAGAAGCAGGAGTAAACCCTGAGCATCATTGAGTGTGGTCAAAAGAACAAAAAAAATTGACTAACTTAAAATGACCTTAATAGATATCCTAATAAAAAAGATCATGCACTTACTACAAATTATTTTCTATCCTTTCAAGAAATAAAAGCTTCAAGTTCCTTTGTTCTATCAATAAGCTATAACTGTGCTACTGTTCTTGGGCTAGAGCGATAGTACTGCAGGTAGGGTGTTTTCCCTGCATGCGGGCGACCTGGGTTCGATTCCCAGCATCCCATACGGTCCCCTGAGTACCACCGGGAATTATTTCTGAGTGTAGAGCCAGGAAGAACCCCAGAGCATTGCTGGGTGTGACCCAAAAAGCCAATAAATAAGTAAATAAATAAGTGGTTACTGTGCAACATTCCCAGTAGATCCATGTGAAACATTGAGGGAAAGAGAAAACATGATTTAAATTTTACAACAATTAATAAAGGATCAAGTAAAGACTTAAGTGCTCCCACCAGTATTTTTTTAAATACATATTACCTTGAAAAGATAGAACTTGTGGTTGGTGTGCTGGGTGAGTTTATTTTGCAATCTGTGTACCAAGAGTTTAACTTGATCTGTCCGCGAGGCTGTGATTAAAGGCTCTGCTTTCTGTATCTCTTCTACTAAGGCATCGACATCGGTACTGAAAGTCAACCAAAAGGACAGTTACTCACTCTAATGCCAAAAGGTGCATTCACTCCATGAAGGAGCGCAGTGCTTTGTGGAGGGTATTCCTGACTCTGTCATCTTTATCATGAAGGGGCATGGATACCCTACTTTATCAGGGTAGTGTGACATGCTCAAAAAAGAAATTGAAAATTCTTGTTAAGGGATATAAATGATAACCTTTCAGTACCTGTACTGCAAACCATAATATCCAAAAGGAAAGAACGAGCAAGCAATTGAGCACATGAGAGAGGGAGAGAGAGAGAGAGAGAGAGAGAGAGAGAGAGAGGGAGGGAGGTGGAAGGAGCGAGGGAGGGAGAGAGGGAGGGAGGGATAGAGAGAGACAGAGAGAGAGAGAGAGAGATGTATGTGCCTGTCATAGAGACTGACTTGAGGCAGGGTGGTAGGAGGGAAACTGGGGACACTGGTGGTGGGAAATTACACTGGTGAAAGGTTGGGTGTTGGAATATTGTATGACTGAAACCCAATCATGACCAGCTTTACAACTATGTATCTTACGGTGATTCAAAAAAAATTAAAACACAATGAAATTTCTTGAATTATCTGGCAGTTTTCATGAAGGCAGAATTCTCTCATGGAAAGTATACAAGATTTAAATTCCTTTTTTCTTTATGTCTTGCCTTGCGTGCAGCCAGCCCAGTAGAGCCGGGTTTGATTCCTCTGCCCCTCTCGGAGAGCCTGACAAGCTTGCCTTTTTTTTTTGCCGCTGTCTTTCTTTCTTTCTTTCTTTCTTTCTTTCTTTCTTTCTTTCTTTCTTTTGTTTTTTGTTTTCTTTCTTTCTTTCTTTCTTTCTTTCTTTCTTTCTTTCTTTCTTTCTTTCTTTTGCCCGAGTGGGCACCAGTAACGTCTCATAACAAATTGTGAGACTTTTTGTTACTGTTTTTGGCAAATCGAATACCAGGATTTGCCTTGCAGGTGAGATACTCTCAGTAGCTTGCCGGTCTCTCCAAGAGGGGCAGAGGAATCAAACCTGGGTCGCCATGTTGGCTATGTGCAAGGCAAACGCCTTACCTGCTGTGCTATCGCTCCAGCATAGCACAGCGGTAGGGCGTTTGCCTTGCACGCAGACAGCCCTGCCAAGCCAGATTTTATTCCTCTGCCCCTCTTGGAGAGCCCCAATGTGCCACAGTAACAAGTCTTGAAACGGAGACATTACTGGGCCCCCTCAAGCAAATCCATGAACAAGGGGAGGACAGTGTTTGTTTGGTTTTTGTTTCTTTTTATTGAATCACCTTGAGATACAGTTACAAAGCTTCTATAATTGGTTTTCGGTCAATGTTCCAACACCCAATCCCTCCACCAGTGTACATTTCTCACCACCAACATCCCCAGTCTCTCTCTTGCCATCCTGCCCCTCGTCTAATCTCTATGGCAGGGGTTTTCTCTCTCTCTCTCCCTCTCTCTCTCCCTCGAACACTTCCTCTCTCTCCATCCCCTTTCTCTCCATCTCCCCATTTGGGCATTATGGTTTTCAATACAGATACTGAGAGACCATCATGTTTGGTCCTTTATCCACTTTCAGCACACATCTCCCAACCAGCACTATCCCTTCCAGTCAGCATTATCATAGTGGTCCCTTCTCTATCACAATTGCCATTTCCCCCTGACTCCTGGCCTTGAGGCTGGTTTCCAACCATGGACCATTTCTGGTCCTTGTTTCTACTTTCTCCATCTCTCACGTATTGATGACTGTGGGAGTTCTCCCTGGCACAACCCCCTGACCACTAGAGGTTGCTGGGCCTGTAGGGAGCGCCCTGGGTCCGGACTTCTATGGGAATGGACTGTTGCCAGGGAAACCTGACATTCTTCTAGAATAACATACTGTAACTGGCCTTTATCTGCAGGCGCCAGTGGCTTGAGATTTGGGAAACACACCTTTGGGTGTCCGCCATACTTTAACCTTGCCTCTGCCTTAGAGCATCAAGGACAGTGTGCCAGCAGCTTCCTTCTAGTCATGATAATACCCCACCCCCCTTCGACACGTGCTCCTAGTGCACGAGGCCTTCTCCCTGAGTCTCTGTCTAACCTTTGCTTTTCTTAAGAAACTGTCTTGTGACTATGAGTCTACGGCCAGTGTTGGTGAGTTGGTCTTGGCATGCTGTGTGCCTGATTCTCTGACACACCATCTCCTCATTCCCAGGGTCTCCATAGTTAACAAGGTAACTACAGATGGCAAATTTCTATACCACAGATGTGAACCTGGGGTAGGGGATGGAGGCAAGTGACCCTGGGTCATCACCGAATAACAGAAAGAGGTACAAGTCTGGGCAGTCTCTGCCCCATAAACAGGAAGAAACAGCAGGTTCTGCTCTGGACACTGTCTATGAGCTGGCAGAGACACAGCAGTGCCCAGCTACTCTGGCCTGACCCTACTGTGTCATCAGGGTCATGTCCCAATAGCCTTTGACCTCCCCTGTGGGCTTCATCAGCTGCTCCCCAGAAACTGAACTGTTAATAATAAACAGTTAGGGGTGGGAGGCTGGAGGGATAGTATAGTGTGGAGGGCACTTGCCTTGCACACAGCTTACCTGGGTCTGATGTCCAGCACTTTATATGGTGGCCCTTTCCTGATAGGGGTGAGCCCTGAAAGCAGAGCCAAGAAGAAGCCCAAGAACAGTCAAGTGTGGCCCCAAAACATAACTCACTGTCACTGTCCTATTGTTCATTGATTTGCTCGAGCGGGCACCAGTAATGTCTCCATTGTGAGACTTGTTGTTACTGTGTTTGGCATATAGAATATGCCACAAGGAGCTTGCCAGGGTCTGCCATGCGGGTGGGATACTCTTGATAGCTTGCCCGGCTCTCCGAGAGGGATGGAGAAATTGAACCTGGGTCCGCCACATGCAAGGCAAACACCCTACCCGCTGTGCTATCGCTCCAGGCCCCAGGAAATAAAGGCCCACACAGAGGGTGAAGTGGGTCCTTCCCTGTGCCCTCGTAGAAAAATCAATCTGGATGCAAAGTACAGGAGGGACTTTGTCTTCAGACCTTTCCTAAAACTAGTCTACATTATCAGGTTTATGTTTTTAAGATTAAAATAAATAAAGCAGAGCAGATTGATGGTCTTTCTTCTCTCTCCTCCACTTTCAACTAGATTGTCCAACAGAACCATCAGGAACAACTAGGAAATAAAATGCTACAGGGCAAGTATCTCAGGAAGTGCCATCACATTTATGGAGCTCATTCACAAAGAGCTGGTGTCAAAAATATATATATTCATTAAAAATACACACACACACATATATCAGATAGGACAATCTGTTGCATTATGGAACCAGCTTACCTGGGATCAAGATCAAGCAAATCTATGGACTTGGTCTTTAATTCTCCACCCTTTTCATATTCCAGCATAATCCCTACACAAAGAGACAAATGTTATCAAAGTCTATTTTTGGCATCTGACTACTTCAAGAATTTCTTTTATTCTCTCTAATGTTTTTGATTTTCAACCTAAAATATACGTGAAATATTCCACAATGATTGCAGAGACCTATAGTTTCCTGGTCTTTTCTCCTAATAGTTCAAGATACAGCGATATGATTTGGCAATCAGTATCAGAACATTGATTAGAGGAAGATGGATAGGGAACGAACTTGAAAAACGGCAATGTCATGAGCTCCCTGGAGTTTTTTTATTTCTCATATTCAGCCCTAAACTGAGGTCCAGAGGGGCTTGCTGCCTGGAAGCCCCCAAGAATATGTACATGACCAAAAGCTTGTTCTCTATAGCCAAAAGACGAGGAAAAGCATCACACAGGAACTAATGGGAATTCCCAAATCCTGCTCGAACACTTGGACCCTGTAGGCAATTTCCCCTTCAAGGATGCTGAGGCAGACACAGTCTTGATTGCTTGGACTGGGCTCTAGCAGCGTCTGACAGCTGCGACTCTCCCCATGGCTAGGGCTCTGCAGGCACATCAGCCAGGCCCCGTGTGTCCAGACCCCAGTTCATCACAGGTCATTGGCCGACAATCCCACCTATCTGCAGAAGGGACATCATAGAAGACCTGGAATGTCCCTGACTCCATTCCAGCACCAAGCACCAAAGTGAAAAGGTGCTTCGAAGGTCCCTGTTTTCCAACCCGTGCACAGCAGAACCAGGGTCTTTGGCTGGCACCCACAAGACGTCGCCCGGTGAGAATCAGCCAACTGAAAACATTCCTTCATTCCCTACAGGTAACAATAGCAGGAGCAGAGTGGAAATCTCAGCAGCATCGAACTAGCAAAGCAGACCCAATCAGCAAAGGCTGAGACAACTAAACTGTTTTTGGAACCAATATCTACTATTTCTGAGAGTCGCTGCTCTAGACCATAATTAGATATACAGCTAAGATTCTAGCAGAAGTTCATATAAAGGTAAGATTGGGAAATCCGTCAAAACACTGTATTTGCTTTTCAAAAGCAAAGGATGACTGAGAAGGAACGTAGCAGAGTGGAGAAGGCAGTAGATGTGATGGCTTGACTCACAAGTCTTTGTCTCTACAATGGTGCTGAAGTGATAGGTCATTTCGTAAGAACCGTAATTGGAACTTTGTTTATTGAAGTTTAGCAAGAGCCACCTAAACAGATGTCTAGCTTGAGTCCCTACTTCAAAGGCGTGGCAAGCTGAAACCCTCCTTCCTAAGATAATCAACTGTGCCAGAGGTTCTAGAGGTCCCCACCTGACATGCCTCACAGTTCCTACAGCTGCCGTAGGCACACCACTGCTTTATCAATGTGACCCAGAAGGACATACATTCTGTGTCACCTAAATTCCTAGAATTGGTCGCATTATTCCCATCCTGAGATAGGCTAAAATTATTTTATGCATATTTTATTATTTTTATGATTGTCTTGAAACATTTCATAGTTGATCCAGATTATTATAGGTAGTTCTGATCTTCTTTATGTAACTGGCTAAGAATATTTTGTATACAATTTATTACCCTCCCCCAAAAAAATGAGTATGTGTCTCCTGCTTGCTCCCACAAAGGATTACTCTATAGAGGGCAGAAGTTTCCTGCCTGAAGTATGCCAGATGAGTATCTCTCTTTAAGGGCCTCTCTGCTGTGTCTGTCTGACCAATGCATACTCTGTCAATAGATTGACTTTGCTCTGCATAAGCCATCTTGATCCTGGTAAATTATTTTACCACCACATGGTTTGGACCCAGCGGCCTCCTAACCCTTCACTTATCTATTTCTTTATTCTTTTTAGCTCATACCTAATTGATGCTTGGAAGACTACTCTCAGTTAAGTGTTCATGGGTCTCTTGCTAAAAGAGACCATGCAGTGACAGGGATCAAACCTTGTCCTCCTGTATGCAAAACAGGAGCTCAGTGCCTTGACCTATTTATTCAGTCCTGTAGGAATTAGAACCTCTAAACTGTCGTCTTTCTCCGGGCTGATGATCTGACATAGGAGATGAATGATCCCAGAACGTGATGGCAAGATGTAACTAACACCCAGAGGCTCACAAAATAAGTGACTCCTGCTCCACTGTGCACGTTGAAATTGCTACATCCCAGATATTCTGGCATCTGTCTTTAAAAAAAAGAAACAAACAAAAAAAACCCTTTTTCTTGTGCTAGCTTTATCAAGATGAGAACCCACTGTAAGTCGAGCAAGAGCTGTGTTTGGCATCAAGCAAATCCAAGTTTGAATTTCATCTCAACATACTTCATGATCAGTGATCTCCTTAGATCTCACTTTCTCATTTGTGGGGAACCCCTGAGGTTGGTGAAGATGAAATAAAATGTATGTAAACCACCTGGCATATGGCAAGTATCATGGAATCATGCATCATCTCTAGATCAATTACAACTTCTTGACAGACCCTTCATGGTCTCCTTTGTATTATTTAAATTGCATCAATGCCTTTTCTCCCCAGAGGAAAAAGAAAACATTCATGCTTCTTTCTACTCCCAGGAGAATTTTTCCCTGAGTAAGTAGTGATGTTTATGCACAGAGGGCTCATAGACACCCACAGACACTTGATGTGACTGAATCCCAGTGCCAGTGACACTGGCATTGACAGGCACTCCCACCTTCCTCTCTGTTTGCTCTTCCCCGCAATGCTGTGTGCCTTTGTCTTCAGGAGGGTTTGCTTTTCTCTCTTTTCTAGCAACATCTAAACTACTCTATGTGCTCCTGTGTCTTCTTAATATCACTGAGTGTCTACCACGACATTAGAAAGGCAGGGGATGTTCAAGTGGTGCTTATGGGGACCCAGGGCTAATGATGGGTTGTCTGGGGGGATTGGGGGATTACCCTGCAGCGCTTCAGCCAGTGGCCCCTCCTTATCTTCACAGCACATGTTCTTTCAGAGAGAATCAATGTTCTGACCTGCTCCCTCCTTCCTTAACTGGTCCTCAAGAGACCTTTATGTGTTTATTTTTCTCAATTTTGTTACCTTTCACTTGCTTTTCCTGATCTCCTCTGCCCTATCTGTAAATGCTGATGGCCCTTAGAGCTCATATGTAGGGACTTTCTTCTCACTTCCTGTTTCCCCCTCTCTCCATTCACCCACACCTCTGGCTTAAGTCACCAATATGGCTCCAGGGATCAATTGTTGAACTTCAGCAAAGATCTCCATTCTTTCCTGACGTGATGAAGTCTTGCCTGAGCTTCCAACAAGCTCAGGACCTTCCCCTTTAATCTTGCTTTTGATCCAGGGTTTCTCTCTGAATCAGACACCATCTAAACCACTGACTTAAAAAAAAGAAACAAACAAAAAAAAACCCTGCAGAATGGGAAAATATTCATCATAGTACAGTCTCAATGATCTTGCTTGACATAATGCAGCAGGTAACTGTTGAAGCAGTTATTGTTAATGAAGTGAGACATTTTGGAACAGAAAAATCATTCCAGAGGCTTTTAATGCCTCAAAGAACTACCTAGACCCCAATACACATAAGAGGCAAACTGACCCTAATTAAAAGCTAGTTTGGCAGAGCTTTGATATTTTTCTCCTCAAGAAATAATTTTTCATACCAAGGACTTTAAATAGTAATTATAGTCTAAGATGCAAATTTACAGAAAGAAAGAAAGAAAGAAAGAAAGAAAGAAAGAAAGAAAGAAAGAGAAAGAGAGAGAGAGGAAGATTAAAAGATATAGAAAAAATAAATAAAAAGGGAAATAAAGATGAAAGGAAGGGAGGAAGGAAGGAAGGAAGGAAGGAAGGAAGGAAGGAAGGAAGGAGGAAAGAAAAAAAGGAAAGAGTGAGGGAGGGAGGGAAGGAAGAGAAGGGAAGGGAAGGGAAGGGAAGGGAAGGGAAGGGAAGGGAAGGGAAGGGAAGGGAAGGGAAGGGAAGGGAAGGGAAGGGAAGGGAAAGGATTTATTAGAAAGTCAGTCACTACAAATAATATTCTAATTTCCTTAGAGGGGAAAATAGGTCTCTTTCTTGTACCACATTAAACTTGTCAGCCAAATATGGCTATTACAAAATTATCAAAATATTTTCCAAGATGCATTTATATAATACATGCTTTATCAAGGAGCTGGAGCGATAGCACAGCGGGTAGGGCGTTCGCCTTACAAGCGGCCAACATGGCCGACCCGAGTTCGATTCCTCCGCCCCTCTCGGAGAACCCGGCAAGCTACCGAGAGTATTCGATATGCCAGACACAGTAACAACAAAATCTCCAATGGAGACGTTACTGGGCCCGCTCGAGCTCGAGCATGCTTTATCAAGGATTTAAGGGGACTCAGAGAAATAAACAGGATACAGAAGCTAGGATAGTAAATCCATAAGAAAAAATAAAATTAGATGGAGGATGACTCAGTGGCCTGACACATGCTTTGCATGCAGAAGACACAGGTGCCAGCCTGGCATTACGTGGTTCCCCAGACACTGTCAAGAGCTACCCTGGAATACTGAGGTAAGAGGAGCTCTTGTACACTGCCAGATGTAACCAGAACCACCAACAAAGACTACATTGGACTGGGGAGATGGTTCAAAGGATTGGAGCCATTCTTCACACGTAGAAGACCCAGGTTCAATCCCCAAGAAATTCTGGAAGTGGCAGGAAGTATATAAACAAAATAAAATAAAAATAAATACATACTTTAATAAGGGTTTATGCAGTTAAGAGTGAAAATTACATTTGTAATTATATTAAGCATGTCAGTATAAATTTGGCAAGAAATGTGTAAAACCTAGTTTTACTACTAGACAAAAAAGAATTTGCAATAAATGGAGAAAAACATTTCTGTGTTTCTCTAAAGTACTCAATATTAAGGTGTCAATCAATCTGTTTTTAAAGTAACTAAAAATAATTTGTTTTGGAAATTTGAAGTTTTATCAAACAACTATAATAGACTATAAAAGATATAAAAGATTTTATAAAAGATATAAAATGTGATCATTATAAA